TGTATACACGAAATCATGCCACAAATGCCAAGTATATGCAGACAGAATTCATGTTCCTCCAACCCCGCTGAATGTTATGACCTCCCCGTGGCCGTTCGCAATGTGGGGAATTGATATGATTGGAAGGATTGAACCAAGTGCTTCGAACGGTCATAGATTCATCCTAGTGGCTATCGACTATTTCACCAAATGGGTAGAAGCAGCTTCTTACAAGAATGTAACCAAACAGGTCGTCACCAATTTCATCAGGAAGGAAATCATATGCCGTTATGGAGTCCCTCATAGAATCATCATTGATAATGGTTCTAATCTTAACAACAACATGATGAAAGAATTGTGTGGAGAATTCAAGATCGAACATCACAATTCATCACCTTATCGACCAAAAATGAATGATGCAGTTGAGGCTGCTAATAAGAATATAAAGAAGATCGTCCAGAAGATGTTCAGAACGTATAAAGATTGGCATGAAATGTTGCCTTTTGCTCTACATGGCTACAGGACATCTATGCGCACTTCGACAGGGGCAACCCCATTTTCACTTGTCTATGGCACTGATGCTGTGCTCCCTGTCGAAGTAGAAATTCCTTCGTTAAGAGTGCTGATGGAGACCAAGTTTGATGAGGCAGAGTGGGTTCAGACGAGGTACGACCAACTCAATCTGATTGATGAAAAGCGGCTGGCAGCCATCTGTCATGGCCAGTTGTACCAACAGAGAATGAAAAGAGCATTTGAAAAAAAGATTCGTCCTCGAAAGTTTTATCCTGGTGATTTGGTCCTAAGAAGGGTCATCATACAAAGCCATTCCGACCCAAGGGGCAAATGGACTCCCAATTACGAGGGACCATACATCGTGAAGAGAGCTTTTTCAGGAGGTGCCTTAATCCTGACAGATTTGGATGGGGGAGACGTTCCGCTCCCAGTCAATTCAGACTCAGTCAAAAAATTCTACGCATAAAAAGACCCGCTAGGTCGAAAACCCGAAAAGGCGACTTAGGCAAAAAATGGGCATCCCGGTGGGCACAAAAGCCCAGGCAAAAGTTAGGGATAAAATGAAAAAATAACAACCCGCTAGGTCGAAAACCCGAAAGGGCGACTTAGGCAAAAATGGGTATCCCGTTGGGTCGAAAACCTGAAAGGGCGATCCAAGCAAAAATTAGGGATTTTAAGCGAGAGGCTGCAGTCTGAATGCTCTTCACAAATGACACGCACACATCTACAGCACCTTGGCAGCGAATTGACCGATCCAACTACTACTCTTCGGAGGCAAGGCATTGAGACAACTTAGGATATGGGAACTGTAGCAATACCGGTTTTAATGGAAATTCGAGCATCTCTCATTGCCATTTACGCCTGTTGTACTTTTTTCGTTTCTATTTTGCAGCTACCTCATATAGGAGTTGCTTCCTTGTACGAATGCCTATTCAAAGGCCAATCAATAAAATTTGTTTTCATCAAAGTTGCCTCTTATTATCATAAAATGTTTTGTATATAGAATATGTTTTATTTGATAATTAAACATGGCATTAGAAACATGGGGAGTAAAAATTCTCAAGCCAAGATAAAACTTGACGTCACGTCAATGTATAACCATGTGGGGATGTCATATGCACTCCGAATGTTGTTTTTCCTTGCAGGTAGCAATTTACGACAGTCACCCTAACCCCGCCAGCACGTGAAACTGCCTCCATCTACTACAGGCAACTTCGGGTCTGATTCCCCAAGTGAATTCAGAAGGTCTAGAATCGTCTTTTAACTCAGCACGCGCGAGGGCATCCTCAGTGGGGTTAATCAAGGACATCCCCAGTAGAGCTAAACCGGGGCACTCGCAGAGCTAAACCGGGGCACTCGCGAAGCCAGACCGGGGCATTCGCAAAGCTAAACCGGGGCATTCGCAGAGTTCAACCGGGGAACTCGTAGGTGCCCACGCTCATCTCTTATCCCCAAGTGATTCAAGAAACAATTCCCCAGTGTGCGTAAACTTGGAACATGTATTCAAAGGGATCCACATGGTGTTCAGTATCCATTCTTCAGCATATTCACTTATATCACCCCCTCAACAGTTCGGGATGTATGGAGGTTTGGTCAGATTATCTCTTCCTTCAACGGTACGATTCAGAATCCAGCGGTGTACCTAAAGACTCGCTTCGTCAGCAATTCAGTCTTCAGCAGAGTCATCAACGATCTTTGGTCTTCAGGAGCTCCCCAGTGTGTACTCTTATCAGTATCCCCAACAATCTTTGGTACTGCAGGCTTCCAGCGCCGATATATACTGACATCCTAAGTGATGAGCAATGGCTCCCAGCAAGCCTCCTTTTATCCCCATGAAGTTTATTTCTTCGCGTTGCATATAGTTATCATTACATATCATTGCATCCTCAAAAGCGCGTAGCTGATCCATCAGAGTGGATCTTTGCATCAAAAGAAATTCAAACATGCATACAAAGCATAAGCCAGATCAGGTACCTTACAAAAAAAGACCTGAATTATTCAAGGACAACAATACGTCCCTACAGAAGGGTATCATGCCCAAAATCCCCAATCAGTGACCTTCACCTTTTCAATGCCAAACAAAATCAATACACTTTGTCGTTCTAAACCCAGTTCCTGTCTAGTAGTCAGTTCCCTAAACACTCGTCCATGTCCATTCCCTAAACACTCGTCCGTGTCTATTCCTAAACACTCGTCCGTGTCCATTTCTAAGCACTCGTATGTGTCAAGTTTCCTAAACACCCATCGGGTCAGTTATTCAAACACTCGTCCGTGTTTATACTTTTTGATACTCGTCCGTATCTTCTTTCAATACTCGTCCGTATTGAATCAAACACTCGTCCGTGTTTATACTTTTTGATACTCGTCCATATCTTCTTTCAACACTCGTCCGTATTGAATCAAACACTCGTCCGTGTTTATACTTTTTGATTCTCGTCCGTATCTTCTTTCAATACTCGTCCGTATTGATTCAAACACTCATCCGTGTTTATACTTTTTGATACTCGTCTGTATCTTCTTTCAATACTCGTCCGTATTGAATCAAACACTCGTCCGTGTGTAACCTTTTGATACTCGTCCGTATCTTCTTTCAATACTCGTCCGTATTGAATCAAACACTCGTCCGTGTTTAACTTTTTGATACTCGTCCGTATCTTCTTTCAATACTCGTCCGTATTGAATCAAACACTCGTCCGTGTTTAACCTTGGATACTCGTCCGTATCTTCTTTCAATACTCGTCCGTATTGATTCAAACACTCGTCCGTGTTTAAAATTTCTTGATGCTCATCTGTGTCGCTTATCTAAACAATCATCGTGTCGTGACCCATGTTCCCCCGTCGAACCTGAGATCGCCTCTTGGCTAGGTTCTTCCTTGAAATCATCGTCGAACCTGAGATCGCCTCTTGGCTAGGGTCTTCCTTCAAATCTTTGTCGAACCTGAGATCGCCTCTTGGCTAGGTTCTTCCTTCAAATCATCGTCGAACCTGAGATCGCCTCTCGGCTAAGTTCTTCCTTCAAATCATCGTCGAACCTGAGATCGCCTCTTGGCTAGGTTCTCCCTTCAAATCATCGACGAACCTGAGATCGCCTCTTGGCTAGGTTCTTCCTTCAAATCATCGTCGAACCTGAGATCGCCTCTTGGCTAGGTTCTTCCATCGTCGAACCTGAGATCGCCCTTTGGCTAGGTTCTCTGTCAAATCACTCTCATGTGTCGCCCTAGGATCGCAGGTCGCCCGTAGACCTCGTCCGCTGTCTTTTCATACCAACCATTTGTCTTGCATTGGCATCAAGCCACGTTACAAGTCCAGTCTCAGTCTCTTCATTGAAAAAAAAAAACAACAAAATTCCTTTTCCCCGACAGATCACAAAATAAATAAATAAAGAAAACACTCATTCTCCCTCAGGACAAATTTTTGGCATTGATATTTAATCATCTTCAACCTTGAACTTCCGAAAGGCATGTGCCAATCGTACTTTCAGGTTTAAGACAATTAAATAGGGGCAGCTGTAATACCCCAAATTTGTCCTACCCTTTTACTTTTATCTGGCTTACGCATTTTTGCATTTTTCTCATATTAGGTCATCTAACACATCATGCATCATTAATTGATAAATTGCCATAAGATCATGGACTTTGAGGAATAAGGGTTGGTGTATGGCTTTAAGGCTCCCATCCTCGTACAAGCTTGTTTCGGTTGATTTCTCCATTAATAATTTGTTTGAAGCTAGGTTTTCATTTCATGGACCTTATCATCATCAAGCTACGATGCTATTCTTTTCTTCTCAATGTGAAGTTGCAAGGTTTTATGAGATGAAGCTAAAAATCAGGGTCTACACATTTTCGTATTTGAGCTTGTCAGCACTCTACCTGAGGTTCATTCCATATCAAGGTATTCGCATGTCTCATCTTTCATATTTATCTGCAAAGAATTCCTCAGGGCATAGTCATTATCATCTATTGAGAAGGGGTCAAAGACATCGTTGTTCTAGTGCTCATATAATCGGGAGCAGATACAAGGATATTGAAAAGATTAGTGTTGACTAATGAGTCAACTAAAGCTCTTAATCCGGGAGCGTCGATCCCGTCGTCGTTTGTTATCAGAATCGTTCCTCGCTTACCATCTTCCATCTCCAACGTCTTACTGTGCTACTACCTATGCAATTTCGCTACCAGTATTAAAATTCGTCTGCGTGTTTTTTTTATATTATATTATATACTTATTTTATTAGTAATACCTAATAATCTATCTATACTAACAATTATTTATGATACCTATATAGTACGAAAGCCAAACTTTTTCAAACCTAGGGTGAACAAGTAAACGCCATCAACATTCTACCATATTAAACCTCTCTCCAAAGATACTTCTTATTCAATTACTTCTATCGGTATCAATTTTGTGTTAAGCTTCACTGAGTACACGCCAACTATTCGATGCTTTGCTTCTGTGAGCATTGTTCACATTTTAGTCTGCAAAAAGCATTATTACAGCTGCTTGTACTCATAATGTTGTCCATGCTTGCAAGAAAGGCCGCTTCCATACACAATCAACGTTTCATAGTGAAGTTGAGTGCATTCAATTTATGCTGCAACTCTCTCACTACCGTTCCCAATAAGGATGATGGTGCTTCTGCCAGAACACTATCCGACCCACCTTCTGAGTATAATTCTAGTAGCAGCCTTCATCTTTCGCCGTTTTTGTCCAACTTCAATCACCCCTCGAGTGATTTTGACATTGAGCTTGTCGACCATGATGCTTGGGGGGTCTCATCTGTGGTGGCACAAGCCTGGCGACAAGGGGATTTGCCTGCATCAGAAGATATTTCTTGTGGTCAGCATGTCATTGATGAATCCCTTGATTCTCATTCCACGGATGTTGATGGTGAACTTGATTTTGAAGACATAGACAACATGAGAGTTCGTGGCAGTCTGTTCTATAAGCTAGAGCGTAGTTCCATGGAGTTTGAAGAGTATAATCTAGAGTTTCACAAGAAGAAATCATAGAATCAAGAACACACGGAGCTTGAGAGGATTTTCTTGGATAAGATTATTACTGGAGAACTTGTTTCATCTAATGTTGATGGCTTTGATTGCGGAAACGATGGTAAAAAGTCTTCTTCATCCCTTGATAAAAAACCGGTTTCTGTTAAAGATGATATTCCTGAAAAAACAGAATGGAAATTGTCGTCAGTCCAATAAACAATCCAAAAGGGAAGCAACCAATTCAAGTATCCAAAGCAAGAAAAGGAAAAACATCACTGATGCACTTCAATCCATGCTATAGTTCAGCACCGAGATCAAGTTCAGAATAAATGCAAAATGAGTCCGTACAAAACAAGTTCACGTGCATCGAAATTCAGCCATACAAAACAAGGATAGTAAATCAAAGAACATATATATCATCCGCAGTCCACCCTATTTTCAAGCGTCAATATTCAATCCAATCTACTAACTAGTTTCTTTTACATAACTATAAACTTCACCAACAGTTTTTTATATGGCTTAACCCAAGTTTCCACCAACCACTAGTCTTTGCTGGTGTTTGCTAACCCCTTTCTCAGTTGGCTCAAATTGATGAACTAACCTGCAAACTAACCAAATCCCCTTAATAGAAATTCTCACAGTTTACAACTACCCATAACTAACTCAACTGACTGGCAACAGAAAATAACATAACAAACTTCTAACTTTTCCCTAACTTCTAACTATAACCAACTTTTTTCCCACCTCCTAACCACCTAACAGAATTTCTAACCTCTTAACCAACCATAACAAACTTTCAGCATATATATAAATAGAGTACACAGCATATGCAGAAGGGTGAACAGAATAGATATGATCTTAACACAGAAAAAAGATTTTATCACCTCTCAACTTGCAGAAGAATCGCATAGAAAACTCCAAGAAACTCTCTCTTCTCCTTTTACTTTATCTTCACCATTCTTCATCTTGGGGAATCGCCAAAAAATCCACAAAGAACTTCAATCTTCCCCTCTATCTGCAATCTTCACGTAGCTTCATCATCATCAATTCTTCAATCATTGAGAAGCATCACAAAAAACTCAGAGCTACAAAATCTCTCATTTTCTCTGATTCATTCTGCAAACCTCCACAAATTCTGAAGAACCATCATTGCAATCAATCATCAATCCACAAACTTAATCTTTCATCAAACTTCAATATGCATCACAAAAAACATACGTCAACACCACTTCTAGAATTGATTCAACGGTGCATCATAATTTGCGATTCTCGGTAACAACTAAAAGCGCAGCACAACCGAAAACACAGAGCATCCAATTCACAGGAAGAAGATCAGATTAAAGAATTAACCTCTGGTTTTCTTACAAACGTCACCGTTGAAATACAGTCGGAGCAACTCCGACAGGTAAGTCGAATTGCTTTTCTCCTTCATCGTTTCACATATTTCTTGCATCATGATGTAGCAAGTATTGCTCTTGAGCTTTAAAGAAATCGTTGCTTGAAGTTGCTGACAAGTAGAAACGTGGTAAGAAGCTATAGATACGGCGGCGTTGTTTCAATTGAAGTAGGGAGAAGAGAAAGATAAAAGCTTGATTGAGTACCGAATGGCCCGAGATCGGAGACAGAGGCGTTCAGATGACGATGAGATGGAAGACGAAATGGAAAGCTAAGATGGAGGGATGGGTCTTTTCCGGCGATAATGGTTATGAAGCGTCGAAGAAGAGAAGGGATGGAGGCCGCCGCTTGCAAGAAAGGGAGAAGAGACTTTTCTTCTGACCCTAAAAATCCCTTTCCAACTTCATATTTTTTTATTTAATTTAATCGTTTTATTATTTTATATTTTTATTTGATAATAATATGCTGAAACAATAATTGTTTTATTATTTTATATCTTTTATTTAATAATAATAATAATATGCTGAAACAATATAATTGTTTTATTATTTTATATTTTCTATAATAATAATAATAATATGCTGAAAATAATATAAAAAATATGGGTTTTTTGTTGTAAGAGGAATTAGTGATGGAATGGGCCAAACTAGTCAATTCTTGGATCATGATTATTTTTATTTTCTTGCTGATTGTGTCCATTTTTGATGGGGCCTAATGTCATTGCTTTTTTTGCAGCACATAGTGAATTTAGTTCGCACCTCCTGAGATCTTATTTCCCATACTCATTTCGATTGCGGTTAATTTTGGCGATTTATTTTCTTTGGCAATATTGGTAAATAAAAGAGATTTCTTTTCAATTCTCTCACTTTTCCTTTTCAATTTTAATCATTAGTTTTACTCATTTTTATGTCATGTGTTTCGCTCGCAATTTTTATGGATTGTATGCGATATCCTGATACTTGCTGCCTAATTTTACTTATTCGTATATTATTTCATGATTCTTTAGGAGATTTTGGTTCAAATTTAATCTTCGATTTAATTGAGCTAAAAGTAGACATTAGGCTTTCAAACTCATGCATACTAATATCAGGTAGAAATTTCCCCTTTAACCTAAATCTTATGGCTACTAACGCACAATAACATTAGGTTTAGAAATAGGCTAATTCCCCTTTAACTTTTCTTTCCCTTTTGCATTCGCACCTAAAACTAAAACCTTCTTTTCTTTCAAAATTCAAAACACTTTAAAACTATTGATGAGAATCATGCTTTTGCTTAGTACGAGAAATGATAAGCGGGTCTCTTCTCGATCTTATTGTTCTTCATCTCAAGCATAGGTGTGGTTCAATTCTCAAAAACTCCTTTCATGGCTAAGTAGAAAAATGGCTAATATCTCTCTCTTGAGGTCAATCAGTCATCATCTACAACAAAAATACAAAACAAATTCAAAACTTTTGTGCGCTCGAGCACCTTTTCTTTTAAACCCTTTTCAGGTAAGGACACGATTAATTTACTTCTGTGCCAACGCATAAGTATCCAAAGGTCGAGCTGCGGCAGAAGGCGGGATTAACTTCGTCCATAAAAAACACAAAACAAACAAAAAAATGTGAGCCGAACTACGGTAGCTCTGATTCCTCAAAAAGGATACGTAGGCATTGGGGTAAGGCCCAGGCGAGCACAATTTTATTTTCCCTACATTCTTTTCCTCTTTTCTTTTGCATGCATTCCTTTCAGTAGTATAGTAAACAGTAAGCATAGATTCAACACACCCATAAGATAGATAACAAGAGTGGATACCGTAGAGTACTACGGGCGTGTGGGGTGTTAATACCTTCCCCTCGCGTAACAGACTCCCTTACCCGATCTCTCGGTCGCAAGACCGTGACTTCTCCCTTCTCAGGTTTTCTCGATGTTTACCTTTCCCTACATATGGGATAAAAGACGTTCGATGGCGACTTCATTGTTTGATGATTTTCAGCCGGTTGTTTCACCAGGGCCCGTTCCTTAAAAGTCAGATAAAGATGTATCGTACAAGTACAATGCTACTATTTTAGAGGATGGTGTGGAAGTTCCCATCCAGCCTTTGTCTAGTATTAAGAATATTGTTGAAACTAGCAGGGTGACCCGTAATGGTCGTGTATTCAGATAAGTTATTAGGGGAAATATCAGTGCTGAGAAGAAAGTTACAAAAGGTGTTAAGAATAAGAAAGCTGTAGGAGAGTCCAGTGGTGCTACCATGGAAAAAGATGTGGATGATATTTTGAAGATTATTAAAATGAGCGAATACAAAATTGTAGATCAGCTATTGCAGACTCCTTCAAAGATATATATCCTAGCATTGTTGATGAATTCTACTGCCCATAGGGAATCTTCAATGCGGGTGTTGGATCAAGCCTTCGTGGAGTGTGATATGCCGTTAGATCAATTCAGCAGTGTGGTAGATAACATTACATCTTGTAATAACCTACGCTTTTGCGATGATGAATTGCCTGACGAAGGGAGGAATCACAACCTAGCTCCCCACATATCCATGAACTGTAAAAATGATTCATTATCAAATGTGCTGATTGATAATGGGTCTGCCTTAAATGTTATACCAAGGAGTACACTGATGAAGTTGAAATATCAAGGGGATCCCATGCGCCCAAGTGGTATTATTGTTAAACTTTCGATGGATCAAGGAATTCTGTTATTGGGGAAGTGGATCTTCCTATTCACATAGGCCCACACTTGTTCCAGATTACTTTCCAAGTCATGGATATTGTGCACGCATACAACTGTCTTCTAGGAAGGCCATGGATACACGAAGCAGGGCCCGTCACTTCCACTTTACACCAAAAGCTGAAGTTCATGCGCAAAAGCAAAGTGGTTATTATAAATGGAGAACAAGCATTGCTGATATCTCATCTATCGTCTTTTAGTGTTGTAGAGGCGGATGAAGCTGCTGTAGGGACACAGTTCCAAGATCCATTCGTTGATAACTTAAGAGAGAATGAGAATTCTATGGCTTCATTCAAAGATGCTCAGCAGGTTGTGCAAAATGGTCCAAGTAAAGTATGGAGGCAGATTATTGATCCTCCGGTAAATAAGAACAAGGCTGGTCTGGGATTCTCTGTAAAAAATGGAAAAGTTGAGAGTTTAAAGTCAAAGTATACTGAAAGTAGCTATCAAGATATTTTCTGCAGCGGAGGCTACCTCCATCCAAATGCTTCTAGAGTTAATGCCATTGTAGAGGATGAAGAAGAACAAGAGATGCCGAATTATGTGACGCCTGGAGTCAGAGTCCAGAATTGGGTCACTATTGATGTTCCCACTTGCATCCATGTCTCAAAGTAATTTGTTTTTGTTTATCTTTGAAAAAAGCTTCCGCTCTGCCCAAAGTGAAAGTTAATATTGTATGGGCTTATCTGTTTGTTTTGCTCATTAAAATCATTAATAAAAGATGTCTTTGATTCTCAAGTTGTGTTTTATTTTTCTGCTTTTTCTTGGAAAATGGTAATCAGAAAAAACCCTTTTTTGGAATAAATAATAACTGTAAATAAATCTGCATGATATATGTGTCAGTTTCTAAAAAGCAATCATAAATCGCATGTGTAGATTAATTAATAAACCTATTGAATACAATGACCTTACACCCTCTCCCAACTTTGAATACCATGTGTTTGGGATGAAAGAAGAATATGATGAGATTCCATAAGAGGTTTCATGGTTACTCGAGCGTGAGGAAAATGCCATTCAACCATATAAAGAGCCATTGGAGACCATCAATTTGGGTTCAGAGGAGGAGCCAAAGGAAGTCAAAATTGGAGCACTGTTGCATCCTGATGTGAAGAGAAGGTTGACTGAACTATTGAAAGAGTATGTGGACATCTTTTCTAGGTCGTACCAAGATATGCTTGGTCTAGATACTAATATTGTGGAGCATCATTTGCCTTTGAAGCCATAATTCCTGTCGGTCAAGCAGAAGTTGAGAAGAACTCACTATGATATGGCAGTTAAAATTAAAGAAGAAGTTTTAAAGCAGATTAGTGCCGGTTTTCTTGTGACATCAGGGTATCCTCAGTGGATTTACAATATTGTCCCTGTACTAAAGAAAGACAGAAAAGTTCGCATGTGCGTAGATTACAGAGATCTAAATAAAGCTAGTCCGAAAGATGATTTTCCATTGTTGCATATTGATATGTTGGTTGATAGTACAAAAAAATTCAAAGTATTCTCATTCATGGATGGATTCTCCGGATATAATTAAATTAGAATGGCTGCTGAGGACATGGAAAAAACAACGTTTATCACACCCTGGGGAACATTCTGTTACAGAGTGATGCTCTTCGGGTTGAAGAACGCTGGTGCAACGTACCAGAGGGCTATGACAATCCTATTCCATGATCTGATGCACAAAGAAATTGAGGTATATGTTGATGATATGATTTCTAAATCACAGATCGAAGAAGGGAATGTAGAAGATTTGTTGAAGTTGTTTCAACGTTTGAGGAAGTATCGTCTCCGCTTGAATCCAAATAAATGCACCTTTGGTGTATGATCATGGAAGTTGTTAGGTTTCATTGTTAGCCAAAAAGGAATTGAATTTGACCTAGATAAAGTCAAAGCAATTCAAGAAATTCTTGCACTAAGAACTTAAAAGCAAGTTAGAGGCTTCCTTGGACGGTTGAATTACATTTCCAGATTCATTTCCCACATGACTGTAACGTGTGAACCGGTCATTAAGTTGTTAAAGAAAGATCAGAGTTATGTGTGGACATATGATTTCCAAAAGGAATTTGAAATTATCAAAGAACATCTATTTAAACCTTCCATCTTGCTCCCTCCCGTTGAAGGAAGATCATTAATCATGTATCTAACAATATTGGATAGTTCTATGGGTTG